TTGGGTATAGTGATAGTGATGACTCAAGGTATTGAATTGAAACGCTCTCTTTCTCCATATATATATTTTTTTTCTCTGTAGATTTTTTTTTATCTTTTTTTTTTTTTTTTGGTTGTTATTTTTATAAACTGCATGTTAAAAATAATGTTGAACCTGTATCTTCTTAATGTAAAATACAATAAATTCACAAATAAAAAACAAGTTCTCAAACTAACTACATGTACAGTTAGAGCTGCATAATTCATCAAAAAAAGATCACGATCTCGATTTGATTCGATTTGATTCGCAAAGGCGGCTGCACTAGTCTTCTCATGGTTTCACACACGTTGCTCAGCGACATGGACACCTCCAAATGATGTTAAAAGAGTCACATACTGTATTTATAAGGTATAAATTACCTAAAAATGTCTTTTTTGCCTTCATATAATGCTGTATTTGCGGCTGGGAAATCACATGTGAATTGAGCTGCTGACTGTCTACTTTAGTGAACAGAACCTGCATATGCTGGTAGAATCGTAATCTTTATTTTAAGCAAAAAAAATCATGATTCTCATTTTAGCCAGTATCGTGCAGCTCTATGTACAGTTAATTAGCCATTTGTGATTAATTAGATTTTAATATTTGCACGTGCAGTATGGAAGGAACATTACGTTATTTATGGGGGCCCCCAGTTTAAAAAAAAAGTAATAACACTAAAATTTTTATGATTATAGATAGATTTTACAACATTTGATAGAAATATGAATATTATAGGCTTCTTAGCATTGGTCGGGGCTCCCTAATTCCCCAGGGCCCTAATCGCCGGCTTACCTCGCTTATTGGTTAAGTCTACCCCTGTTAATCACAAAACCATTTTGAATATTTGTTGGAGAACAAACATTTAGGTAATGTTGAAGGCAGTTTCTTAAAACATTTTAGCCAATATTTTTTAGCAATGTCAAATTTTTAAAAGTGAAAATCCTATAGAGTTACATAGAATTAAACTCATTTTCATTTCATTCATGAACTTTTCATATATATATATATATTTTTTTTTTTTTTTTTTTTTTTTAGATTGTCACCTTTATTATGGTATAGGACAGTAGAGATTTCAGACAGGAAAGCATTAGGAGCAGAGAGAGGGGAAGGATCGACAAAGGACCTTAAGCACCGCGAGCACGTTGGTGCTATGTCAGCACACAGTACCACTAGGCTATTAGCGCCAACATAAATTATATTTTTAACTGTATCAACTGAACAAACTAAATGACAGTTTGAATATTTTTACACAGCTATGTGTATTTACTCAGATTAAAATGCCTATTCACACTAAGCGCAACAACTATTTCTAGAAAGTTCCAATAAGTATTAATATTAACTGTGAAATCTATAACATTAACATACAACAGATAAATAACAACAGAAAAGTATTATTATAATTATTATTATTGTTTTTAAACTATTTCAGCAGGTAAATTAGAATCCAGCCAATTAGAATCCACCAACATTCGACAGCTAAAGAATTTAACCCAACAAGTCTGCACTGTGCATAATATACAGAATGCCAATTGGTATTAAAGTTAATTTACTTATTCGTCTTACCATAAGCAAGCCCTAACTCAAATCTTAAATCTGCAAATGTCCAATTTTAGCAGAATTACTGTACTTCTGGGAACTGTTTTCCCTCCAAAATTTATCCAAGTATCCACTCACACAGATATAAGGCCTGAAGCAATGGAGAGCCAGAAAGTACTACTCTTTTCAACATGAAACCCAAGAACGTCTAAACTTCTGATCCTCACACACTAGAAAAGGTTTTCATGAAAGAATTGGCAACACTTCCAGGAGAAGAGTCTGAATAAAAGGACCCAGAGCAAGATGCACTGCGTCAGACGCCTTTCAGCTTGTGCCTTGTGAAGGCAACATGATCCATGTAACCGTTCACTGTCGATGAAAATAAAGAATGGTTGACCAAACACACCTTACACACACACACACAGAACACATCTCATTATTCCCTGGTTAATTATTAACACCTTGCTGGGTTATAAGTTCAAAACATACACTCAGATATATTTTTAGAGATATAATGTGACATGCATGATGGTGTCATGATGTTTATTATGACTGTTATAAAAACAGTGCTGACGTGGCGCCACACCGAAACTCTCCTATGGATTGTGTTTTAAATCATATACGGTGTGTTGAAGACAAACTGCACACCTTTGGCCTCAGGCTGCAGATGCGAGAGGCCACTGGATCCCTGTGACTGATAGTTTGCTTTGTTCTGCAAATACAACTCTGGAGTATGAAATCGTCTCGTTTTTGTAGGACACTGAACAGCTCTGGATAGGTTTTCAAAAACACGTGGAATATATAGGCATACATGAGGTTTAGGGAAACTGTAATGGCGGTGTCTCTTAAATCTGCTGTTTCCACAGGGGATGAACATTAGAAGTACATTTGTGATTTGTTGAACTAATAATAATTCATTCATTCATTTTCCTTCGATTTAGTCCCTTTGTTCATCAGGGGTCACCACAGCAGAACGAACCACCAGCTTATCCAGCTTCTGTTTTACACAGCGGATGCCTTTCCAGCTGCAACCCAGTACTAGGAAACACTACTACTACTACTACTACTACTACTACTACTACAACTACTACTACTAATAATAATAATAATAACAATAATAATAATAATTTATATACTATACATATAGTATATAGGCTTATATAAGAAATCTTTGTATTAGATCTTACATAGACATGACTGTAGGAGAATAATACACAATAATAATATACAAAAAAAATTATACTGGCCTGATTAGATTTTTACTTGCCCTGACAAAATTTTCTTAGTCTTAGCCACACATTTTAAATAATATGCCAAAAGCCAAACATAACTGTATACATACACTTTTTATTTAGCATGACTTTTTTTTAAAAACAACTTACAATTTTAAAAAATACAGTTGTGATGTAAAATAAAAAAAAAAATTAAAAAAATGTATATATGTATTTTAAAAGCGCAAATGTGCACTTTAATTTTGACACCCACATACAATGTCACCAACTATAAATCAGAGAGGTTATGATCAGTAATGATCCTGTCTACTGTGCCGAGCATTTCACACGCTGGCCCCGGACCATCGGGCAGTCCTTATTGTCGAACCCTGCATTATAATATATAATATAAATACAGCAGTTGTTTGTCATAATTTATCTACATAGGAAAATATAGAATTTGTCAAAATTAACAATGTTCAAGTAAATGTATTTAATATATAATATATTGCTTATTAAAAATATATATTTATTGTTAATTCAAATGTTTAGTACAGACTTAAAGTCAGTACATTTTACAAGAATACATTATTTAGGCATTTTTATTTAGTAAGGATGTATTAAATCAATAAAAATGTGATTGAAAAGGGTTTGATTTTGTTATAGAAAATAATTTCAAATGAATGCTCTTTGAATATGAGTTTTAGTGAAACTGTAAGGGCAGTGCCTCTAAAACCTGCCGTTTCCACAGGGCAAGAACATTAGAAGAAGATTTGTGATGTTAATGTGTTGATGTAAATGTGTTGATTTAACTAATAATAATAATAATAATAATGATAAAAATAATAATAATAATGATAATAATAATTTAAAACACCTACTGTATAAACAGCTATATAAGAAATCAATTTATTAGATCTTACATACAAAGGACTGTAAAAGAACTCTTAAATACACAAAAATAATATTATAAAAACATATAACATATAATGGAAATACAGCAGTTGTTTGTGATATTTTAAATGAACAATGTTCAAGTAAATGTATTTAAAATAAAGTATATTGTTTATTGTTTATATAAAAAGCATTTTCTATTCAGTGAGGATGTTAAATCAATCCAAAATGTGACTGAAAATGATTTTATATTGTTAAAAAAAAATAATTTCAAATGAATGCTCTTTGTATTCATCACTAAAGTTTGCCATCTCAGAAATAAGATAGAAACATAAATAAATGTAGATTTTGTAATCATAAAACAATCTTACCAAAATATATTTTAAATTTAAAAAAGCATATATAAAATACAAAGTATTATTTTTTTAATTAATATACACAATACAACCACATTTTATATTATTATAAAAAAGAAAAAATATAGCCAAATATTCAAGTAAGTTAATTCTAAATAATGTTTGTAGCATAAACAAATAAATGCACAAAGCTAACTCAATTCAGACAAATCTAATCTATTCCATCTTTTAAACGCAGTGTCAACGGTCATCAACGTCTTTGCCTACTTCCTATTGGTCAGTTTAAAACCCAGGTGCAATTAAAAAAAGTAGTTTTACTAGAAACATAGCAAAACCTGCAGAGACACGACATCAGATTCTTGAGCATCCCCAGCCCAGCCCTCAGGGGCCCCGTGGAGCCACAGGCAAGAGACATAAACACTCTTACCAAATACATAACGGTCTGACATTCTCCACGAGCACACCTACAGTCGTATGTTACAGCAACAAACAACTCAAAACACCTCAACCCAGCATGCACCCTGTCTAATCTAATAAAGCCTCGCAAACAGGCTGACCGTAATCTCATTTTCAAAATTATAATAACTCACCACAACAACATCCTCCGAGTTCAACCACAGGCCTATTTACTCTCGTTATATACGCATGTTCTAAAGGTCTATGTACTTAAACCCGAGCGCCAGCTGAATCCTGATGGAAATATAATCTGACATTATGTTTGTCCTTCTGGCACATGGTGAGCAAACACACTCAAGAACGCATTCGAAGATGCAAAGTCCACCGCACATGTGGGTGCGCAATCAGAGTAAATATAGATTCAGCGGTTTTGACTAAAAACACAGACGTGGTCAGTGAATCATAATTAATTCAGACACCGTTTAAAGTTTCCTCTGATCATATGACCTACGCTGTCACCAAACACCATGTTTACCTGTCATTCCTTCAATTCTTCCACCCAACAGCGTTGACCAAAAATTGCACTAACCTTAAAGGCAAACTTGCGGGTGATGCTGTCCGATGTTTGGACAGGTCCAATCTTGAAGCTGAGAAGAGGAAGGCTTCCCAAGACTCCTTCTTCCTTTTCGTCTGGATGGGAAAAGAATAGTAAGCGTTAATATCAAAGCAATACCACACACACGCGCACACAAATCAAATAAATAAACCCAAAACATTTGTGTTGAATCAATCCAACCTAGATGCAAAACAGTAGATTATCAATCCTCGATCAGAAATCTCCAACTTTCTAATCTGATGATTGTGGAAGAGCAGGTAAACCGCAGGTGAATCCCATAATAGATATCCATTTTTATCTCAGCGAAACGCTAATGGCACTGAAGCGAGCAGCGGCGCTCAGCCTGGGAGAGCAGCGCACGGATGGTTAAATAATGGAGCACATCGTTAAATTTTCAGCACGAGAAGGGCAACGGAGATCCAGTGTTGTTGCTCTCGATCTGCTGTACTGAGAGCTGCTGCTGGGGAAATGCAGTGAAGGCACTTGCGCATGTGTGTTCCTGACAGCTGTGTGTATGTGTGTGCGTGAATGAGAGAAAGGGGCGGAGGGAGAGGAGGGGTGGAGCAGGTTGTGTTTGTGCTGTATAGAAGCAGGTTGAGCAAGAGAGAGAGAGAGAGAGAGAGAAAGAGAGAGAGAGAGAGAGAGCGACAGCAAAAGATAGCTATCATCCCTCAGTGACTCAGTGCTGCAGGAATTCTGGCTCTCGACCAGCTGTACCTGCTCTCTGATCAACCCATCAGAGCTTATTATTCTGTCAACAAAGGGCTAGACTAAAACAGTTTTCAATAAGAAACATATATAGATGTTATAAGGAAAAACATGTATGTATCACCACGAAATATACTTGAAAATACAATGAAACGTATAAAGATTGTTGAACAGAAGGTAATAGAAGATTCAATCTGAACATGTCTGTCAGGGCTGTAAATTGTCACTCCCAATTTTGATTTGCGGTCAAAAGTCAAGATTACTTAGTTCCCTCAATCTTGTAAATATGGTTGCAGACTATAGCTGTCTGTATACTTTACTGTATATTCTTCCAGTGTTTTGGTGTTACAATGATTAGTCAACAATTTTGACGATGTTGACAATACATTTAAAAAATATTAATAGACATGTGACAAGGTCGCATGTGTTGTCTAGAGTAAGGTGAGTTTGCAACTTGTAGCCAAAAGAGCTAACCTGTACTCTAACCAGTATGTATTTTTGATGTTGTAGTTATACACCAAGACAGACAACAGTGTGCGCACTTTTAAGAAAATCTAAGAGGCATGCGTTCGATCAAGCTAAACATAATAGAAAAAGTGTGCCGAAATGCGACAGTCCCCCTCCCCTCTCCCCCAAAGGCCTGCACCCATACTGAATTTTTTCTTCCAAAACCGAGCATGCTTGCAACATCGATGATGCGATTGTTCAGTTTAACAGGAAGAGAAGCGCTCTTGCTCAGCATAGTGGAGATTGCTTTAGTTATATCATTTTAGTTGTTTGGGATGCAGTGACACGTAGTGAAATATTTTGCTGAAAAGATCCACAACTTTTGATGCTAATAAATGATCATAAAAGTCCTTGTGCTGCAAGTATTGAAGGTACTGCGGATGTGCAGTGAGGAGTTTGCATGTTTAATAAACTACAACAGTTCATGTTTATTGAAAAATAAGAACGATCAATGTATCCATTGGAAAACAGACCCCTTAAAAGTCTTGCTTTAGTTTCGGCCTTTGCAAAGCCCAACCTAACTGCGCTCTGGCACATCTCTTCCAACTGGGCCAGAGCTGTCCAACTGAACTGCGCTTGGGCCGATTTAGAGCACTCACACTTGTCAAACTAACTAGGAAATGTGCCTGGGCATGGTTTGGCTAGCATAGTGTGTGCACCCTAAAGTTATTCACCAACCATAGGTTCAATTTTAGTAAATACACACACTAAAAAGATGTGTACCTTGAATATGATGTAAATCCTATTCTAAAGCCTTTGCCAAATGTCTGCACATTGTGTTTTAAATGAACAGAATGAATGCATTCTGACTGATAACATATCAATTTCATTGTGCAATTTGATTTAATTGGGTTTTTTAGCCAGATAGATGCTGCATAACTCTGAAATTCAACTGAACACACAGCAAGCTGCCTACACAAATAACCTATCACTTGACCTAGATGACCTAAACTTTCAAAATAGCTATGGCTTAAGTTGACGTTCCAGTTTTGCCTTACGCAGTTACTGTAAGAAGACAAGAGACCATTTTTAATGGATGTCAATAGAGAAGAGTTTGACTAAAATGAATAAACTGCTTTGGTTGGAAAAACATTTTTGGAATCAAGAGCATACTGGCTAATCTTCAACATGTTTGCACTTTGATTGCTTTCAAATGCTTTTCTTGATGGGTGATATTCTTTAAAAAATATAAGACAAAATTTGGGCTGAAATATCACTCACTCACTACGTACATAATGGCAGGTACGTGTCAAAACAAAAGCTTAGGCAATATTTGCATCGGATTTTATTTTAACTAGTTAAAACAAGGTTTGTGACATCTTAAACTAAATTCTTAATCAGAAGTTATTTAATTTTCAAATAATTATTGATATTACAAACAAGTATAACCCTTAACAAATGTGTGGCCAAATGTAGCATTTGTTGGGCAAGTTTTTGAGGGCAATATCAATCCATTTGAATAAGAATCTCTAAAAATCTCCAAAACTTATTGACATTTTAATAATCAATAAGTTTCAATTTCTGTCTCTTATCCTCATACTTGGCATACAGCTCTATATCTGCAGGGACAACAACAGCGGGCCATTTTTCATCCACTCCCCTCGTTCAGAATACCAATTGAGGCATTAAATTGCTCTGTCACACATTCTCCAACTCTTTTGCACTGCACAGCTTGGTAGAAAGAAATGGGGTGATAAGAGGACGAAGGGTGTCGTGCCACAAAACGCAGTGCTGTCGCCAAGATATTAAGGGCAGCCGTGGAGACATATGGGATACGGCCAGTCTCTGATTGTGATTTTTAAATAAATGACCCTCTCATCCCAGTGAGCCATTCAGACAAGGAAGGAAAGAAACTTCCTGGTGTTCCTGGAGTGTGTTTGTTAGGCCACTGACAACGACTCACATTAATATTGTGATGTTGTTCGGCTGCCATTACACTTTTAGATATACAGTACTTTTCAGCTGCATAATTTGTTTCAACACAGAGATGACATTGTGAGTTTTGGGAATTTTTCAACCTGTACTTAATTTTTACACTTTACTTGTAGACATAGAGGCTTGCTACTGATTTCAGTAGTTTGTTTTTAGCGTGTTGCTATGCTAACAACATAACACTGCCCTAAATCACTAGTGAATAAAAACAATGAATATTGGAACAAATTGCACATGTTTTGATCTTCATGGTTACTATAGTCATTCATAATCAGTGCTTTAATTCATTTATCCTGCATTATTTTACTAGAGAAATTAATGTGCCAATGAGTTTGGCATTAGTATGCTAACAATACAACACTAAGAAATAAATCATAAAACCAGCTTTTATATTAGGTAAAATATATAATATAAAAAATATTTAATATAAATATAAAATATATACTTTTTTCTCATCAAGGTTGTGATTATTTAGTCAAAAATCTATTTTTTATGTAATTCATTTATCTGATGACAAAGCTGATTCTTGACAAGTTTCAAGTTCCTTCAGATATTATTTTAATATGATGATGTGGTACTTAAGAAACAATGATTTAATATTATCAATGATTAAAACTGATTTTCTTTTGCCTTCAGAGCTGCCTTAATTCTTCAAGTTACAGATTCAACAAGGTACTGTAAATATTTCTCAGAGATTTTAGTCCATATTGACATGATAGCATAACACGGTTGCTGCAGATTTGTCGGCTGCACATCCATGATGCAAATCTCCCGTTCCACCATATCCCAAAGGTGCTCTATTGGGTTGAGATCTGGTGACTGTGGAGGCCAACTGAGTATAGTGAACTCATTGTGATGTTCAAAAAACCAGTCTGAGATGATTCGCGCTTAATGACATGGTGCATTATCCTGCAGGAAGTAACCAACAAAAGATAGGTACACTGTGGTAATAAAGAAATGGACATGGTCAGCAAAAATACTCAGGTTGACAAAATGCTCAATTGGTACTAAAGGGCTCAAAGTGTGCCAAGAAAATATCCCTACACCATTACACCACGATCACCAGCCTGAACCTTTGATACCAGGCAGGATGGATCCATGCTTTCGTGTTGTTGAGGCCAAATTCTGACCCTACCATCCGAATGTTACAGCAGAAATCGAGACTCATCAGACCATGCAACATTTTTCCAATATTCTATTGAGCAATTTTGGTGAGCCTTTAGCCTTAGTTCCCTGTTCTTAGCTGACAGGAGTGGCACCCGGTGTGGTCTTCGGCTGCTGAAGCATATCTGCCTCAAAGTTTGACATGTAGTGTGTTAAGAGATGCTCTTCTGCATGCCTCAAGTGTAACAAGTGGTTATTTGAGTTACTGTTGCTTTTCTATAAACTCAAACCAGTCTGGCTATTCTCCTCTGATTTCTAGCATCCACAGTATAAGGCATTTTCGCCCATAGAATTGCCACTCACTAGATATTTTCTCGTTTTCGGACAATTCTCTGTAAACCCTAGAGATTTTGTGCTTGAAAATCCCAGTAGATCAGCCGCGCTAAAAGTCACTTAAATCACCTTTCTTCCCTATTCTGATGCTCGGTTTGAACTGTAGCAGATCATCTTGACCATGTTTACATGCCTAAATGCACTGAGTTGCTGCCATGTGATGGGCTGCTGAGAAATTTGCATAAACAAGCAGTTGGACAGATGTACCTAAAAAAGTGGCCGGTGAGTGTGTGTATATATTCGCAAAACATTCATTTAGAATCAATTTCTCTTGCTCTGACATCTTCTTTGGATTCATTTCTTTGTAATTATTGCATTGTGCAATCATCTTTTCTGGAGTGCTGTAATAATGCCTCAAAAGGCTTCCTCTCCAGGCAGCTCACTAGGTTTTGAAACAGAGCAGTGTTTTGATGTTGCCTTCAGTAAATAT